TTCGCAAGACAAACTCAAGGTATCCCCTAAAGGGCTACCTTTCGTGATTTTTCTATTCCACTAAAGAGACTGAAGTGCCAAGGCACGCAAAGACGTCCCTCGTATTCGCTGCTCTAGATCCAAAGAGAAGCGTCTGTGAGACAAGCAAGCTTGATCATTCCAGGCTTGGTTCCTGACTAGCACAATTGAAGCCAACCTGTGAGCCCCAAACTTAATTGCGTTTCTTCATGCCAAAAAATGGAATGGTACAAAGCAGCATGAAATGCGCCAAAGGTCTCGATCACGAGAAGGATGCCATCCTGTACGAGTAGCTGGTACGCCTGTCCAAAGACAACGATTTGACGGCGAAAACTTTAGGGACATAGTTTAAAGGATTTGTTCGGATCTCTTTATACTGACTACAACGTGCTCTGCCTTGTCAAGAGCCTCTCGCTGAAGCTCTTGTGACCAATGGTGCAGAACCATGGAAAATAGGCAAACGTCGAAGCTCTCTGCAGGAAGCGCTTGGAGCCTTGGCCCTGCCATTTGAGCAGGCGCGCAGTCAAAGAGCAAGAGATTACTCGCAAACACATGGCTCAGGTCAAGAAAACTTGCCGGCGTCAGCATTTGAGAAGCATTCGTAGAGGGAGACATAAGCCGCTTGCGTTGTCGCAAGCCAACTGCCCCAGCTTGTTCGACGCTCTGTCGAAATAGACTTTTGTTGGGATATGCGAGCGTCGTTGCAAACAGCTAAGTGGGGCTTATACACTGGGTCTGTACCTACGCGGGTGCCTACGCCTGGGCTCGCCTCTCAAGCAACTGCCTACGCGAGAGGTTCTCTTTGTTGGGTGCCTACGCAGGATGCCTACGCAGGGTACTATCACCAACTTTAGTCACATCAGGTGACTCGAAAAGAGCTATATAACCAGCAAGTAGTGGCCCGATGCGACCGGGTCACATCAGGTCCATTGATTGTGGTACCAACAGGGTGTGCACACTTGTGGCTCAAGAGCCGGCGTGCCAGACCAAGCACGATCAAGCTTTTGACCTCAAAAACCTATGTGCCCCCATAGCTTCGACAAACAAACTTCAAACATCCACTGTAGCCATGCCATTACAAATCATTTTCCTTCCCCACTGGAATTTGCCAGCAAGTGTCAAGTTAAACAACTACAGGCCAACATTATCTTTCCCCAAGAACCCTTGAACAACTTTTAAAGAAGTCTGAATAAGAAAACTCATGCTTTCATTAAACGTGTGCCTACGCAAGACTTCAACACCCACCTACGCAAAGTGCTTACACGACGCCTACGCCACAAGCAGAACAGCCTCCGCAACTTCTCAACAGTTCCCTTTTGTATAAACCTAATCATTTGCAAAAAGAACGTGGCTCATGTAAAGATAGCCTGGCATTCCACGTGGTACAAAAACAAATGAGGTCATGCAGCATGCGTGTGAACAAGTTGTGGCTTAGCATGCCACGCCTGTGACGAGGATGCAGCATAGCATGCTCCACACGTGGCACAACCTTTCCTACCCCCCAACCACCCCATCCATAAAACCTGATGAGATCCTCTGCAATGTGAAAACGCTGTCAACGCAAGGGTCGCGAGCCTTCCAAATACCCGGCACCAAAAATAAAGATAAATAACAAAGAAACAAACAACTCGGCAAAACCGGTTTTAAAAATACACTGCTTCCGAACCTTCTCTTAGACGTCGCTTCGTTCTTGGAAGCACTTGGAGCTGCAAGAAATCGCATTGCCACACAGAGTTGTGGCGTGGGCATATGTCCAGCGCAGTGATTTGCCTGCAACAATGACTTTGCTGACATTGTGTTTGACTTCCGCGCACCCTTGAGACCATGATAGAGCAACGGAACCGGCTGCTCACCCTGTTGAGTTTAGTTGATGCTAGGGGAACCGAAGCCATCCAACGAACGGGGAAAACCAGGTACGGTGGTTTGCCCAAATACCATGTAGGGTTAAAACATCAAGCGCTTTACAAATTCTGGGTCCCCTGCTTCAACGTCAACGGCATTAATGAGGGAACCCTAGGCTGATAAGCCCAATATCTACCGACCCCACTCCTTGTTTTCAAGAGGGGAGGCGCGTTCGCCAACAAGTCACATGACGTCGGCAGCAACGTAGGGCACGGTGGTTGGGACCGTGGCAGCCATTGGTTTCAAAGGTTAATGTGTCTTCCTGAATATTATTACCTTTAAAACAACTATTCTGATCACCTTCGCGCTCCGCATGTTCATGTTCATCGGTTCGCTTCCTCTTGTGCTCAACAGGGCAGGTGCTTGAGAGTTTGGGCGAATGCGGACCGGTCTCAGCCTAGCAATCACCAGCAAACATCCTTCACAGTCCGAAGGGGGGCGGCCTGATACTGGGGAGTTTTGGCAAACAGTTCTTCTCAGTTACGACGCATGCACAAGCCTGCCATACTGCCCTAATAGGACGTTGACCTTGCTTGTGCCACGTGGCTGAACATCAACGGGGTTCACAGCACATCCACAGGAATACTCCGCAGTCTCCAAAAGTCAATAGCGTTTTACAACTCTCCGTGCAGGCCGTCTCAAGCCGCAGCGCTTGCTCCCTCAAGACATCCAAAGCACGGTATTTACCATTTTTGGAGCACAAACGAAAAAACTAGCTTAAGCATTGCGTGTCTTTGCAAACTGGCCCAGGCTTTTGAATCGAAGTCGAGCCACCTTCCTCTCCAAGGGCACGCTGAAGAACACAACAGCGGAAGAAATGATGCTGTAACTTTCCCACAAGCTCCAGGCCAGGAGGTGGCATGGCACGAAGTGGGCGAGGTGGAGAAGCAAAGCTGATCAGCGACGGCCTTTCCTTCTGCTTTACCGTACAGAGCATGAGCGGGACGGCGAGGCTGCCAAAAGGAACAGCGGTGTTCCGAGCAATGCCAGCTGCTGGGAAGATATGTGTGTCTTTAGACTTGGTGGCATTTGCGGGCATTGTAAGCGTTTTTAAAAAGGCCTTGAAGGTTTGGGCAGCGAAAATATTTCAAATTGCTTTGTCACTCAGCACCTTACCCTTGCATTGAAAAAGACCGGGCCGAAAAGAAGTGCAATGTACTTTCAAAACGGAAAAGGTGCATATGTTGGTGGCCCTGATCCTGTAAAGCTGTAGAGACTGCGGCAGGACGATGTGAAAAAACGTCTCTTTAAGGGGGATGTGGGCATGGGCCTCCTCTCTTCCTCTCTCCTAATTTGACCTCAGATTTACACATGGACCCCACATATACATTAAATGTGTTCTGGACACTGATTTTCAGCTGCTTCCAAACCTTTCCTTTCCTTAGCCTTTATATTCCTTTCATGTCCTTTTCTTTCTTGTCATTGTCCTTTCAATATTCTTCTGGGATTTTCTGGATTTAACATTATTTAGGGTCTGCCAACCACAGTTTGTTGAGCCATGGCTCACGTCCCGAAGCCCTGCCAGGGCATTGTTGCAGCTTCCCACGTCCAACAAATGTATGACATCACGATCATCACCCACCTGCAAGCTGCCGATAAACACAAAAGAAGAGAGAGCAAGACGAGAGAGCTTTTAAAACAGGACTTTGGCTGTGCCTCCAGCTGCTCAAGAATGATTTCCTTGCACCATTCGAGGCTTCTCATCATTTCTGGCCAGGAGGACTTCTCGAGACTTGCATCTGCATACCTGGACACTGGGCAACTTAGCAGCCAAACCGCTTTAAGATGCTTTAAGTGGTTTTTTCAAAAGTAATCCGCTTTTGAAACCCCACCTGTCTCGGCCAGCTTCACCGAGGGAGCTTGATCGGTTTTCACTATGAGATCTCTCGAAGACCTGGTGGTCAAGACATGGGTGTCCAGAACACGTACAGTGTTCCGGCCAGAACCGTTCCCTCCAACAGTTCCAACAACCCATGAATATCTACCGAAATTAAGCTGCTGATCAGGCTTCACTGGCCCGGCTGATAAGGGCTGGGCTAGGTGACCCA